TGTCAGTAGAAACACAGTAGATCTTGTTTCCTGGTTTTAAAAGATAGGTATTACCTATAGAAGTTATTATAGTATTTTAAAACAAAACAGGATCACAAGAATGAAGAAATCATTTTTAAGGGTTTCACAAAACTAAGGAAATTCTACCTGTGGTGACAACACTGTTATCAACTGCATGTAATAGAAAAGATAATATTGTAGGACAGAGGCAATGGGCAATGACTGAAACACGGAGTTCTGCAGAACAGCAGGAATTGCTTTTTCACTGTGAGGGTGACTGAGCACTGGCACAGGTTGCCAGTGGAGGTTGTGGAGTCTCCCCTCTTCGAGACATTGAGAAAACCATCCGGACATGGTCCTAAGCAACTGGGTCTAGGTGGCCTCGCTTAAGGAGGGGGTTGGATCAGGTCACCTCCAGAGGTCCCTGCCAACCTCAGTTCTTTCATGATTCTATGAGTTCACAGCAACAGGTATGGTAGTGTTGTGGTAATGCCTCTGGCAAATAAACTGACATCAGCCTAAATTCAGCTGCCAGATACATACATACAGGCATAATAATATCCCAATAATGTCCCAATATTTCCTTTCTGCCTGAGTGGTTAATTTTGTTCAGAAGGGACATAACCTTGGATTCTTGACATTGTTAACTCTAGGACATTTTGCATATAAGTTTTTACATGCTCAGGAGGTTTAATGCATTAATAGTCTATTGACCAAGGTGAAAACTAGAAAGAACTTTTATTCCCACCATCCGAGGAAAAATACCGATGCCAGACTACATATAAAAATAGCATCTTTTACAGAATGATTCTTGTCAAGGTATTGAAATAAATAATGATATGAGGTTGTAGAAAGAACTTCTGGTTTGAAGGGTTGTAGTGGGAGAGATTTCTTAATAAGCAGGCAGCTGTCTTCAGAATATAGCTGAGTCAGCAAATCCCCTATTTTTTGTTTTATTTGTGCATTTTTGCACAAATTTGGTTAAATCCAAATTAAGTTGCAAAGATAACTAACAGAGCTCCCAATGAAAAGTCACCACGTAACGGGAAGTAAAGAATTTCCACTGCTTCCAAAGGCAATGTCTGAAACTTTATTTGTTTAGGGAAAACTCCAGCTAAGACTGATGAGGAATGTATTTTCCCAAGATTTTTATTTCCTATTTCTAAGCAGCTTTAAAATGCAAGTTCATATTAAGTATAACTAGAAAAAGTCTATGTTTTGAAGAAAATATCTCAGGGTGGCAATGAAAGGAAGTAAAGCCAAAACCAACAGCCATTCTTTTCACATGTTGCTCCTTCTGCCTTGCAGGATGTTTAGGATACAGTGAAATTACCATGATTATGATTTGATATGATAAATATTTTGGGAAGCAATGACTTCCCTCAAACAGAAAACCACTGAGTCCCAGGTACAGACTGAGATTAACTCAGTTGATTAGAGGATGATGCTAGTATCACCAAGGTCATGGATTTGATCCCCATTTGGGTTAGTCATTTAAGAGTTGGACTCTATGATCCTTGTGGGTCCCTTCCAATTCAGAATATTCTGTGATTCTGAAACCTCAAGTATCAGCTGAGTTTTGCAGAAGGTGGTAGGTGCATGCAGGTACTGTGCTGACAAACTGACCCACAGGTTGTCAGGTGGCACTGTACTTTGAGTGTGTGTTACTAGCCGCCTTCAACCCCATCAGGATACGGACATGCAGTGACCTGGTGCTGGTTTCACAGGTCACTGTGCAAGGCAGCAGTTAGACCTTAAACTAAGTGGTACCCTGGCAGTGATGTGGTAAACTTTAATTTGTCCAGTCTTCCCCAAAGGCTTACATATTTGACTGTCTCCATAGATATTATTACAGAACAGCACTTCCATTTTGCATAGATGCAACAAGTAAGAACCTGAATAAAAGAAGAGATCTCTGTAAGCATACGCATGTAATTTTCCATGACAGACATGGTTCTTCTCCTTCAGATTCCAATACCAGTGTCGTCCTTGTGTAACGACATTTCGATGCAGAACAGTGAGATGAACCAATGTCCATGCTCATCTGGAACAGCCCCTTCCAAAATGAGTTCTGCTTTGTATATAAACTGTCAATCTTCTTCAGAACCAGAATATACAGTAAAGTAAACATACACAGATGTGATCTACGCCTGGTTAAATTTTCACACTGAAAATATTCTTCCTCATACCTCAAAATCAGTATCCTGTTTTATTGATAAACTTTCATTTGGACCTGTTAATATGCTTGTCACCAAGATGCTCCTTCTCTGATTCATTATAGATTCTCTTTGTTCTAATAATAATTGCATGGACCAAGTATTCTACTAGTCATTTAAAAAAATCCCCAAGTTTTACTTTGCAGATGGGTAACATATAGCAAGGTCTTAGTCCAAATGTTTCATTTTGACACAGAAAAATTGTATGCAAATATACGTATGTGACATTTTTCCTTTTATGTTAGTATTTGGCTTTATAAGGAATTCCTGCAACTGAAGCAGTGCTAAAAATGTCCTACAGATTATGTTTCACTATGTGCATGTGTTGATTTCGTGTGTATGTATCACTGAGAAACTATATTTCCTGAAATAATGAAAACTTTTAGCCTCTCTGAGCTACTAATCCTTAAAGCTACATACTACTACTTTCTTTTTGCGTTCAAAATTCTCGAAAGTAGTCTAAGGGATTTAGACACATATTGTCTGTTAATTCTAGTGGCAGACATATATCTAAATCCCCTACACAACTTTTTATTTTTAAAAAATTATTCAGGCTTCCTTTTATCAGCTCACTTTCCCTCTGTAATAGCATTGGTTAAGCACTGCCTGTGTTAAAAATGTTACCTCTTGGTCACCCAAGAGGATTAAATAGCTTTGTACCAGAGGAACCAAAAGGGTGAAACAGCTAGGAAAGAATTATGCAAGTATATCAACTGTGCTGTATTTTTTTTCAGAAGAGACTGTATCTTCAGTAGTGTGTGAGCATATCTGGTGCACTGTGTGCCTCAAATAGTCTCAGATTCTCCTGGCATTAAAATAATGCTAATTAGAAAAAGCCCACAGCTGCTATTGCTATTAATATTAATTGCAACAGTATTTATTTTCATGCAGTTTGTTCTTCTTCTCTCTTTCAGTCCATCATAAAGTTCTTCTTGAAAGATTTCAAGTAAAAAAAAAAAAAAAGAAATTTTTTTCCATTCTTTATACAATTAGGGTTTCTTGGAGGAACTAAAAAAATTAAAATCTCTCTTAGGAATAACCTCTTCTTTTAATAATTTTCTATCTTTTATTTCAGTTATTTTATATCTAGACTGCAGCAGTGGAAAGGAGAGGTCAAAAGGTGGAAACATCAGTGCTTATGTAATCCCCAAAGAGGATTACTCCCCTCACAAAAATGGCTAGTATGACATGTGAAATTAAGGATATTCATTCTGTGTCTGCACATCCCTTGTAATAGAATTGGTGAATCTTTAGAAAAATAGAGCAATATGAGAACAACTGAGCTTTTCCCATGGTATCAGCACAGACAGTATTAAAGTTCAAAACAGTTTTTCTAAGCCACCACTCGCCAAAGAGTTCTGCAGAGCCTTCCTTCCTCTCCCTATACACTTCTGCCAACTAAAGGATGACAGTTATACAGCTTTATTAGAAATGGGAGAAGGGGCACCACTTGGGTTTTAGCACTTCTATTAAGTCCTGGAAAATATGCGTGCATTGTTTTCTCACTTGGACCAGGGCTACACCCATTCCCAGACGAAGACATTTATTGTGTTTCTGTCCAGGATTACACAATCTGATGTGGTCTACAAGATGAGAATAATAAAAGGATAATGATTTTCAGGCACAGTATTTACATAGCACTTCACAGGACAAAAATCAATGGACAGATACTTTGTTAAATCATTTCACATGCCATTGAATGCAACAGTTAAAAACATAAGTTTGGTGGAACACAATTCTAAAAATATCCAAAATCACATGCCTCTGAAGATTCAGTGAATGTGCTAACCCAACTTCCCATAGAACTTCATGGGAAAAAAACCCCAATTTCTTGGTGTCAGCATTCACATTTCAAAATGAATGCCTAATTACATTGGTATTCATATATCACATGCCCAACTGCTTAAACCCCGACAGGATACCTTATGCAACATAACTTTGATAACTGCATTTCCACATACACGAGTGTTTTCATAGTAAATGAGAAAAATTCCTGCTGAGAGTTAAATCAATGCATTATAGTTACACCACAGGATTAGATAGTTAGTACTTTCATCCAATTAAACCAGTTTACCATCAGGAAAGTAATGAAGGAATTGCCCTAAAAAGTAAACCAAGCTCAATGTTATCTTGAATTTTACTCATCTGTTCTAAATTTAGAAGTATTTTCTTACTGCAAATAACACATGAGAGAAAAATGGATCCTTTGAATATAATTGAAAAGTAGGATTAGCTGAAACAGAGTGGCTTGATTGAGCATTTCCTTGCTCATTGTACATATTTAACCATATTGCTGATGTATTTTATTGTCTTACTTTTAAAAAAAGTAGATGGAAAGATTATTTGTGTTGGTGTCACAATATTTATATCTTGCTCTGCTGTGCCCTGGTTTCTCCTAAGAGACAGAATGTCAACCAGCTTCTGCAGTGACAAAACAATATGGTTTCATTTGATTGCCACTGGTAGCATTTTTGGCTCATTTTTCATGGCTCTGTCATCCAGATTCATAAAGAACTGCTTCTCCTCATTTGGGTATTGGTTTTCAGTGGCAATTTTTCATACTTGACTTGACCAACGTGATCTTCGCTGCTGTATGCTGACATTTGCTATGAAACAACTACCTAAGACTTAAAATATCTCAAATTTTACTGCAGATAGTTCTGTGAAAATAGAAGGTTATTCCTCTACCAGAGGCATTTAGATACATTATATCACCAATCTGCTGTCATCTGTAGGGTTGCTTCTGAATTGAAACAGAAATACATATTGGGTTAATATTCCTACCTTCCAACTCCCAGCAGCCAAATTCTGTAGTGCCCCTGCTGCCCCCTCCAGCGTATCTGGATTTGAGCACTCAGAAAGAAGTGTGAGGTAGGGTTTGACTATTGAAGGGTGCCACAGCATCTGGATTCCTTTGGGTGGTTCTGCACAGTCTGGGAGAGGTCCTACACCATCCCACTGTTGGAAAATACAAATCAGATTGTCAGTAAGGAACAGTGAAACATACTTGAGAATTGCCTCAGCTGAAGTTATAACATCTATTTCTGCACATGTGAAGGCATCTGTCAATAAACAGCTGTTCTCAATTTTTGCACATCATGTGACTTCATAGAGAAACCAAATTTCCTACTCAACATTCCTTATAGATAAGCTATAACATTGGCAGAAGCCATAACATTTTAGCTAGTAGACATAACAAAATCACTTTTCACTGCATTTATTTTTTGGGGTGGGAACAGAAGCCCAGTGAACGTATCTTAAGAGGCAAATCTAGAACTTGCATGGGAAGAAGAGATTCTCCCTTTTTGCATCCTGCTTAGTTCTCTGCAATCTCTCTCTTCTCACGAGGGGAAAAACAACACAAAATGCTCCTATGGAAAACCAAATCATTCGAGGCCATGAGCCCTCCATCTCATGAAGGTACAAGTGTGAAAAGTCTTTCTCAATTGTACAATATCTTCTGGCTTCTCACAGAGTGAGTGCAGGAGATTTTCAACCAGCCAGCAATACAGTCTGAGACTTCAAAGCAATTGGTAGACTCTTCCTCTCATCACACACAGAGTTTTGACAGGAAAACAACCCAAGTCTGATATTCAAGATGTGCAATATTAAAACCTGGATAACAAGTAGGTTATTGCACAAAACCCTGTCTTGCCAGGAAGAAAAACTTTACTCCAGAAGAACAAGGATTCACCTCTTCAGTGGAACACACAACACTTGAACCTAAGCATGACACATCTTAACAGAAAATGCACGGACTTTTTTTTTCCCTTTTAAACAAAAGTAAGATGTGGAATGTACTTTCAATATGATTTTAAATGGGATTTCTATCTACATATTTATTGTATATTTTGTTGCGCTTTGTACAGACAAGGGGATTTAAATAATTCACGGCCCTACTGCCACTGTTAGGAACAAACCTCAATTTTTTTTATAAAATATCTTGTCTAACACCTCTGACATGTCCAGAGTGCATCATACAATAAAAAGTAAACCTTATAATGGCATGGGTTACAGCTTATTGTGACTATGTAGATAAAAAAATCTGTATCATAACATTAAACATATACTACACATACAAAGATAAAGTCAAATGAACTCCTTGTTTAGATCTGCAACAATTTAACTAGGAATGAGTCAAATAGCACAATAATACTTTCACTGGGAAAGACCTAGAATCCCTTGTTTTGAGGAAGTATCAGTCATCATTTTATTTAAGATAACTTTAAAAATATACACATGGTTCAAGGCACAATAATACCTAATAACAACTAAAACAATTTTAATAAGGTTTTGTGAGATTACTACCATTGAGAATGAAAACCACTATTTTTTTCTGAATTAAAGCAGAACAAACACCAAAGTGGAAAGCTAGTGGGACCACTTAATACACATGAGCAGTTACTGAAAATCAGAAAGCTGCTCAGGTATGAAACTCACTACACTGGATGAATGTTGCCATAGTTTAAAGAACTGGCATAGCAATACCCGGTGATGGTTGAGAAACTAGAGGACAAATGCCTTCTGGAGAAACAATGCTTTTAAATGACACTATTATAGGGCTGTGCCTTTGAAATTTTTAGTACAATTCCTTTAAACCAATAGGTTGTTTTCATTGCGTGTGACTCAGTTCTCCTTTTTCCTCCTTATAAATCATCAGCCTTGCCAGAAATGAGTTCTCTTCAGCTCATAAAAAATACATTAAAGCCTGCTTCTTATTTTAACACTCAGAATTCAATCACTTGCACTGTCAGATTTTTTTTGAAAACAAATGAGAAATATATCTTACAGGTCAAATCTGACCTCAAACCAGGTTTAGGCTTGGTACCTTAGTAAGTCCACTAATGAAAAGACTTGCGATGTCCAAGGGCACCAATTCAGGTCTTCACTCGTTACATTACTATTTGCACGAATTATGGACTCATTATGCAACTGAAGAATGTTTGCACAGGTTATTTACTATATTATTTCAAGGACAAAGTACATAAAGTGCAGATCTACCCAATACCTTTTTTTGCGCCTATGTGGGTGTATATTTTGTTTTTAAGCTCACATATTTACACTTTTATAAGCCCAAGGACTACTTAAAATCAGCTGATCTAAACAGAGCTGTATATATATGTTCATGCTGAGCTGCTACATATACAGCACTAGAAATGATCTAGCAGATAAATTAATATTTAATGTTGTTTTGCCATTCTACCCAGTAATGAGAAAACATTAAAAAAAACAAGTGAGACAAATTATCACATTTCCCCGCCCTTCTTGCAACTCACTTTTAGTATGATTGCATTAATTTATCACCAGCTGTGAGGGAAGACCTTTTTCTCAAGACACTGTGATGCCTCAGGGTCTGTGTAATAATGATGAAAATCTTCGGTACCACACGCATGTGCAGTGAAAGCACAGGAAATTCAGTGACAATGGAAGATGTCCAGCACTGTTCTTCAGATGTGGTGTGTGTGTCCAGAGCAGCTGAGTAGCATGCACAGAGAGGGTGTCACTGCCAACCATGCTGTGCTGGTTTTGGCTGGGGTAGAATTAATTATCTTCACAGTAGTTGGTATGGGAGTATGTTTTGGATTTGGGCTGGAAACAGTGTTGATTACTCAGGGATGTTTAAGTAACTGCTGAATAATGCTGACACAGCATCAAGGCTTTTTCTGCTCCTCACCCCGCTCCATCAGTGAGGAGGCTGGGGGTGCACAAAAGACTGGGAGGGGACACAGTCAGGACAGGTGATTCCAACTGACCAAAGGGATATTCCATACCATATGATGTCATGCTCAGAATATAAACTGGGGGAAGAAGGAAGGGAGGACATTTGGAATGATGGCCTTCGTCCTCCCAAATCACCATTACATGTGATGGAGCCCTGCTTTCCTGGGGATGGCGGAACATGTGCCTGCCTGTGGGAAGTGATGAATTAACTCCTTCCTTTGCTTTGCTTGTGTGTGTGCCTTTTGCTTTCCTCATTAAACTTCCTTTATATCTCAATCCACAAGTTTTCTCAGTTTTACCCTTCTGATCCTCTCCCCCATCACACTGGGGTAGAGTAAGCGAGTGGTTCCATGGGCTTAGTTGCCGGCTGGGATTAAACCATGACACCTGCATAACATACCTGCTGCGCCTATGGCAGCCTCTTCACTGAAGGGCTCAATGGCTTCTGGCACCTTCTGTGTAGCTGAGACAAGTGCCTGCAGCTGTACCTCCCAACTGTTGCAGGGCATGTAGAGCTGAGACAGGTCAGAAAAAAGCTATTGCAAAGGAGGATTTCATTTTCACCTTCATCCATTTTTTTTGTATTTTATAAATATAAACATCGGTTGCCTGAGCAAAAAAAAAGTTTTCCTCAAACTGTATTAGACTCTATCTGAAATAGTGGTTAAGGCATGGCAGTAGTTGCTTTGCAGTTCACATTGCTCAATATTAATGAACTGAGGCAGTGTGCTGAACAACTACTCAGTAAATTACTGGAACAGTTACTGTATCATTGTAGACCAACAGGAATGATCAGTAAGGTCTATCTGAGACAGACTGGGGCTGTGGTAGGAGAATGAGAACAACTACATGCAATTACTCTTCGTAGCTTATGCTAAAGAGAAAAAAAGTAATAAAAAAATATTCCTTCCAGGCTTCCCTCCTTCAGCTGAAATTACACACATATATTGTTGTTGAAGCTGACAAACTGTTTGTTACGTGGGTGAGATACAAATCTCTCATTTCCTGAGACTGGTGCAAAGAAAGGATGAAAGTCAAGAAAAATAAAAAGGTAAATACCAAGATCTTTTAAGAACAACAGACTTCTGAGTACTTTAATAAAAGTATCAAAGTTTTCATATTACTAAGGAACTTTGAGAGGAGAAAAAGATAACTCATTGAGATGCTCTCCTGTGCTACAGAACAGACTATCTACCACTACCTTTCTCATTTTAATGAAAGCAAATCTATATTTATAGTGCAATTGTACTGAATACCAGGGAAGGCTTCACCTCTGTAAGAGAAGGACACTCAAAATTTTACTTTTTATACTAACAATCTCCAGTTGGTGGGGTTTACTATTATAAAGGTATTACAGGACAATAGGTTTTCCTGTGATATCAAAACAACAGTATTTAATTTTAATGTGTTAAAAATGAATACTCCCTTTCCCCAATCTGTGCAAAATACCACTATTAAAAAAAAGAACGTCTAAGAAAAAAATAAAAATCCAGCAAGGTCTAAAGCCATCCAGACCTCTCTCCAATGACTCTAGACATTTGAGATAGTGTGGTAATGCTTTAGCTATGCTCTTTGTACCAGCAGTGACAAAATTCATATCAGCAATTAAAGGGTGCTTGTTAAAACCATTTTTGAAATGCCAAAGACTTTAGAGGACACTTTTATCTCACGCTGCATGTCTTAGTGGCTGTGACAGTCTATGCCAGGTGTCCCTAGACAGGTCAATCCAATAACCTCTTTTGGAAACCAAGAAATCCACTGGCCAATGCCATCAAGAGCAGAAATCGAAAATTTAGCAACAGAAATTCATCAAAATCACAGAACTTGCTTTCAGGGATGAGAGAATCCATGCACCTTATACAAAGGAAGTCGGAATGCCACTATTTACATCAAGTCAAACTTCAATTTTGACATCTAGACCTAAATAAAGATGGTGAATAAAAGGGAAGGTGTCAGCTGACACAGAGACTAGAGGAGTATCGTGGGAGAGGGCAGAACTGACTGCATAAATAATGGCACCCTCTCCAGTTTGATGCAACAGTGTTTACTATTATGGGAAAGGTGGTTGGAATGCTTTCAAAACATTTCAATGTATTGAATCATTATTACTAATCTCAGATACTAATAAATCTGAATTCTACTTTAGATTATATATTATATTCTTAAAATAATTGTCAATGCCTTTACTTAACTTTTTGATGTTATTACGCTCAGCTGAGGAAAAAAAAATAATTTGT